CTGTGCATCGCCAGGTGTGACCCAAAGAGCAAAAAATAAATAAAAATTAAAATTAAAAAATGCAAAAAAAAAAAAAAAAAAGAATTCAAGTGTGGTTTAAATGGACAAAAAGGGGCTCTTTCTCTTGTAAAAAGAAGAGAAATACATTGCAGAATACTTTGTATGGAGGCAAAGGCTTGGGTGTGTTCAAGATTTGGCCCCACCAGTAATCCACCAGCAAGGCCAAGCAAGGAAGGCATTGCTGCTGGAGGTGTAATTTATGGACACGAATGCTGCTTTACAAGAGGTTCTGAAGACCGCCCTCATTCACCGTGGCCTCGTATGTGGAATCTGCAAAGCTGCCAAAGCCTTAGACAAGCGCCAAACCCATCTTCTTGCGTTTGCGTCCAACTTTGATGAGCCTTTGATGGCAGAGGCACTTTTTACTGAACACCAGGTCAACCTAATCAAGGCTGATGACAACGGAAAACTAGGGAATAGGTCAGCCTATGTAAAACTGACAAGAAGAGAAACCCCTTAAAATGGTTAGCTGCAGTTGTGCTGTGGTTAAGGACTGTGGCAAAGAATCACAGGCCAAGGATGCCATCACAGAATGCTTCAAATACAAGGAAGAAATAAGAAATCTGGCTCTTCAGAAATAATAATAAATAAATTGAAAAAGCACGCACACCTGTAATTTACCACTTTATAAAATAAAACATATAAAATGAGGAATATAATCATTTCAGTAAATGAAAAGCTTTCATGAAAAACAGCAGTTGAGAAGAAAGAGAAGGAAATTTCTGGAAACAAAATGCATTTTTTACTAAAAACACAAGAATAGTAACATTCTTATATTTAAAATATATACAAAAGTATTTCCTTTAAAATTGGGAACAGATTCAAGCCAGGTACTGATATTTCTACCTAAAACTATTCTAGAAAAAGTCACTATTAGCAAAAGAAATTATTATCTTGATATAAAACCCAAAAGAACTTTCAGGCATATATTTAAAGAACGAGAATTTAGCCAAGTTGATAAATACAAAACTTTGGTATATGGCGTATTACAGGTGCTGATCAGTAATTGCTTAATTTTTAAAAAGTAAAGGAGTAACACAAAAATTCAGAATAATAAGCTCAGGTATAATGGATAAAGAAAAGAGAAGTAGAAAATTTAACAAATTTCAGTATTTGTCTGAGTATGGGGCTGGAGCGAAAGCACAGCGGGTAGGGCATTGCCCTGCATACAGATGACCCGGGTTCAATTCCTCCATCCCTCTCGGAGAGCCCGGCAAGCTACTGAGAGTATCCCGCCCACACAGCAGAGCCTGGCAAGTTCCGGTGGCATATTCATATGCCAAAAACAGTAACAAGTCTCACAATGGGGACATTACTGGTTCTCGAGCAAATCGGTGAACAACGGGATGACAGCTCTACAATGCTACAGTATGAGTATGACTTTCATGGCTCTCATCTCAAACTGGGATGAGATGAGAGGAGCACCCACTGCAGATTAATATATTTAGAATAATCACATTTATACGCTATAGACTGTTCTCATTGCCATAATATTTACTCCTCTTATAAAATCTGTGGGCTAGAGAGATAGCACAGCAGTAGGGCATTTGCCTTGCGCGCAGCCAGCCCGGCTGAGCCAGGTTTGATTCCTCTGCTCCTCTTGGAGAGCCCGGCAAGCTACTGAGAGTATCTCCCCCGCATAGCAAAGCCTGGCAAGCTCCCTGTGACGTATTTGATATGCCAAACACTGTAACAACAAGTCTCAAAATGGAGACGTTACTGGGCCCGCTCGAGCAAATCAATGAACAGGAGAGTGCTACAGTGCTACAGCATGAGTATGACTTTCATGGCTCTCATCTCAAACTGGGATGAGATGAGAGGAGCACCCACTGCAGATTAATATATTTAGAATAATCACATTTATACGCTATAGACTCTTCTTACTGCCATAATATTTACTCCTCATAAAATCTATGGGCTGGAGCGATAGCACAGCGGTAGGGCATTTGCCTTGCACGCAGCCAGCCCGCCCAAACCGGGTTTGATTCTTCCGCCCCTCTCGGAGAGCCCGGCAAGCTACTGAGAGTATCTCGCCCGCTCGGCAAAGCCTGGCAAGCTCCCCGTGACGTTATTTGATATGCCAAACACTGTAACAACAAGTCTCAAAATGGAGACGTTATTGGGCCCGCTCGAGTAAATTGATGAACAACAGGAGGACAGTGACAGTGACAGTTCAATGGTCATAAAATCTGTATTATACCACTTTGTTTACTCTATCAAAATCCAACATGGAACACAGTGGTTAAAATTAGAGTTTAATTATACGAGACTGTTACTCAAGGACAGTAGAAATGAGGCCCAGGAAAACTGGTCCATGGTTGGATGCCTGTCACAAGTTGGGGGAAGTGGGCAGTTAGGCTAGAGAAAAGACCACTGATCGTGCTGGACAAGAACTGAAATTAGGAAAAGGGATATACATGATAACCTTTCAGTACCTGTATTGCAAACCAGAATACCCAAAAAGAAAGGGGGGAAGGGAGAGAGAGAGAGAGAGAGAGAGAGAGAGAGAGAGAGAGAGGAAGAGGGAGGGAGGAGGGAGGGGAAGGCGGGAGGGAGGGGGATGGAGGGAGAGAGAAGTTCCTGCCATTAGAGGCAGATGGGAGATTGGGGGGTAGGAGGGCAACTGCGGAAATTGATGGGAAATGTACACTGGATGGGTGTTGGGACACTGTATGACTGAAACACAATTATGAATGAATTTGTAATTGTGCCTCTCCCAGTGATTCAATTAAAAGAACAATCATCACTATGGGGAAAAAATAAAATAGATAAAAAAGATTGAGTGTAGTCTGTTGAGTAATTCTACTAAAGGACAAAGAGGGGGAAATTACAATGTTAAAATATTTCTAAAAAGAAATATCACAATTCCTGAATCCATAAGGTACATAGAGGAAAATATAGGCAGAACTCTCCATGACACTGAAACTAAAGACACCTTCGAGGATCAAATGCGACCAAGAAAATGAAAGCAAAGATAAACAAATGAGACGACATTGAACTAAGAAGCTTCTTCACCTCAAAGCAAATAATGACCAGGAAACAAAGACCATCCGTGGAATGTAAAAAATTATTTGCACAACACTCATCTGATGTTAATATTCAAGATGTATAAGACACAGTCAAACTTTACAAAAAAAATAGATAAATAAACTCCATCAAAAAATGGAGGGATGAACAGAAACTTCCTCAAAGAAGAAATAGGAATGGCCAAAACAAAGATGAGAAAGAGCTCAACATCATGAATCAGGGAGATGCAAAGCAAAACAACAATGAGATAGCATCATTGAGATAGATGGTCACAGAGACCAGCACACATCAAAACAACCAGCCAGTGATGGTGCAGAGAGAAAGAGATTCTCATTCACTGCTGGTGGGACAGCTTTTCTGGGAAATAATTGGACATTCCTCAAAAAGCTAGAAATTGAGCTTCCATCCGACCCAGCAATAACACTTCTGGAAAAATACCCTAGGGGCCCAAAAACAATGCAGAAAACTCATCTGCAATCCTATTTTCATTGCAGCACTATTCACAATAGTCAGAATCTGGAAATAACCAGAGTGCCAAGAACAGACGACTGGATAAACAAACTATGGTACAATTATACAATGGATTACTACCCAGCTGTTAGGAAAAATGAAATCATGAAATTTGCTTATATACGGATGGGTATGGAGAGTATCAATCACGCTGAGTGAAATGAGTCAGAGAGAGAGGGACAGACATAAAATGATCACAGTCATATGTGGGATATAAAAAACAAAACACAGTATGAGAATAATACCCAAAGACAGTGAAAATAAGGGTCAGGAGGACTGATCCATGCGGGAGGCTTACCACAAAAGAGGAGTGGGAGGACAGTTGGACAGAAAAAGAGAATGGTAGTTCAAACGATCACTCTGGACAAGAACTGAGTTCTGAATGGAGGTGAAGTGATATGCATGATATCCTTTCAGTAACAGTACTGCAAGCCATAGTGCCACAAAGGGGGAAAAAAAAGAGGGAGACAGAAAAGAAAAGTGTCTCCCGGGGCTGGAGTGATAGCACAGCAGGTAGGGCATTTGCCTCGCAATTGGCCCGAGCTGGGTTCGATTCTCAGCATCCCATATGGTCCCCCGAGCACAGCCAGGAGTAATTCCCGAGTGCATGAACCAGAGTAACCCCTGTGCATCGCTGGGTGTGACCCCCAAAAAAAAGTGTCTCCTATGGAGGCAGGCTGCAGGGTGGGGGCTAGGGGAAAGGGGCCAGCAGGAGGGAAACGGGGGACATAGGTGGCGAGAAGCGTACACTGGAGAAGGGGTGGATGTTAGGACATTGCATAACTGAAACTCAATCATGAGCAACTCTGTAACTGTGTATCTCACAGTGATTCAATTAAAAAATAAAACTAAAAAAAAAAAAGAAATCACAGCTTAGAGAAAATTAACAGAAAATTTAAAACAAAGCAAAAATTTTTCACCAAATTATTTAAAATTATGGCAGCATGTTGAACTTCTGAAGCCCAATGATTCCAAAGAACCATTTTCCTTTCATATTCTCAAAATTATATTAAAACCTGACCATACTGTAACCAACTAGTTTTTTAAAAAAAAAAAAAAAAGCTCAGATCATCCCAATACTGAATAACAATATTATGCTATTACAGTTAAAAGCCTTAGGGCTAGGGAGATACTTCCAACGGCTGGGCCAGAGAGAGTCCGGTGGTTAAGGCACTTGCCTTACACACAGTTCACTTAGGCTCGATCCCGGGCATCACCTATAGTCCCTCAAGCCCACCAAGATTAACACCTGTGCATCACCTAACCCTTAGCCAAAGAAAAGGGGCTGGAACGCATGTTTTGCATTAAAAAGTCCTAGATTTGATGCCCAAGTGCTGCAGGAAGCTGCCCCCAAATACCACCAGAAGATGACGCAAAACCAAAACAAACAAAAAGTTACTCACCTTTCAAACCTAGAGTTTGTAGCTGGAAGAGCCGACCAAGTTCATAAGGCAAAACCCGTAACAGATTGTTATTTAAAAGCAATTCCCTGTTTAAAAAAAAAAAAAAAGTAGTTGTTTAGTATTTCCAACTTTATTAATCTCTACAACTGCTTTCCTAACTTTAATTCTAATATTCCATGAGTATATGTTTACGTTTAAGATACACTTCTATACAATCACCAAAAAGTAATGTTCAACATTAAAGTACTACAAAATGTATTAATGGTGACAATTGCTGAAAGTGTTTCTAAAATTTATCTTTCTCAGCTCGCCAGTTTTACTTATTAAGTAACTATTTTCTCAATCATTTTATTACTCTTATCAGAGCCGAAATGAAACATTTTAACCCAACATACCTAAAATCTGTCAAGAAAAATTGTTACACTAACAAAAGCTAAAAGAAAAGGAAGTTCAATTCCAGAACTGTGCTCTGACAGTATATCAGTTAATGTTCACATACAAATGGAAATCTTACTGTACAAAGGGTAACCATCTCAAGATTTTATTTGGTAAATTCAAGTGAAAAGTAAAGTGAATCATATCCCTCATGCTCCCTCACCTGAGAGACACCATGTTTCCTAGTTCTGCTGGTAAACTTCTGAGTTTATTGGATGACAGATCCAGGTAAACCAGATTATGAAGCTTGGCAATATCAGGTGGAATGCGACTAAGGTAATTGTCATTTAGGTGCAGTGCTGTCAAGTGTGTCAATGACCAAAGTGATGTACTTAGGCTCCGCACTCTACCTAAAAGGCAAAACATTAAAACATTAAACTCAAGAAGAAGACTAAACTACAAAGGTGAAAAAGTGGAAGATAGGGCCAGAGACATAAAACAGCTGGTAAGATGTTTGCCTTGCTTGCAGACAGCTGACTCAAGTTCAATTACCAACACCACAGGTGGTCCCAACGCTCCACAAGGAATCACTCCAAGCACAGAGCTTGGAGTAAGCCCTGAGCACTACTGACTGTGTGGCTCAATCCCTCCCCAACAAAAAAAAGTGGTAGAAAGTCTACAAATCGATACGGACATTTCTATACACATATCACTATCTTTGACACTTTAATTTTGTATTCAATTTCATTCCTTCCAAACATACCCGGACCTTCTTTAATTTCATGCCATTTTTGCCTGGCTACCATTCTTTCTCATCTCATAGACCTTTCAAGTAATAAATGAGATGTGGCATAATGAGATCCCTAGCACCAGGATGATGAGTCTCAAAGAGTAAGTATGCAACTGCACTAAACTTCTCAGGTAGCACAGTGCTGAAATATTTACGTTACAGCATTCCAAACCAAGCAATTTCTTACATTCTCCATGAACATTGGCAGTGTAAGGTATAATGAGGAACTTAAATAGTTCATAAGCTTTAAAAAGACTAAGGGGACATCTGATATTAAAATTGTAGATTAATAACTATGATTTATCACTAAATGAAAGACAGCCAAGGAAATAGTCACAAATTAAGTTGCATCAGTCATCCATGGAGAAACACGTACTAGAAAAAGTCAGAAACCTGATTTAGACTCTTAATTTTTAGTAAATTACCTAGTATAAACTGCTATAACGTGGGAAATTATCTTAATTTATATGAAGATATTTTATAAGCTTTACAACAGTAAAACTCTATTTTAACTATAAGGTACTTTCCAAAAAACAGATCTGATTCAAAGAGAAGTGAAAAGTAAAGAAGGCACAACATCTCAAAGGGGAAATGTTATCTTCCGTATGGCTATTAAGCAACAGACTCAAACTTGAATCTTTCATACAGGTTTCTTCCTATCACAAATTCTTTTATGTTTTCCACAACCAGGCTTAAAGTGTCATGATGATTCTGCCTTTTAACAGGGAGCAAATTTTTCAAATAAGAGTCCATCAAGAGTGACTTACTCTAATTTTTAACCAAGTGATTCTCATCAAGGACAATTTTGTTCCTCAAGGGACTTTGGCAATCAGGAGACATCAGGTTGTGAAAAACACAGGTGTCGGGCTGGAGCAACAGCACAGCAGGTAGGGCGTTTGCCTTGCACGTGGCCAACCCAGGTTCGATTCCCAGCATCCCATATGGTCCCCTGAGCACCACCAGGGGCAATTCCTGAGGGCAGAGCCAGGAGTAACCCCTGTGCATTGCCAGGTGTGACCCAAAAAGCAAAAAAAAAAAAAAAAAGAAAAAAGAAAAAAAAAACAGGTGTGCCACTAGCATCTACTTAACAGAAGTTAGGAATGCTGCTAAATATCCTCCAGGACTTACACAGTCCCAACCACACTGGCTGGATAGCCCAAATATCATAAGTGCAGAGTTGAACAAAAAAAAAAAAAAAAAAAAAAAAACAGGTTAACCTAAAAAGGTTTTACTCTTCTGATTAGCAACCATCTGTCCATCCAACTTACATTTACATTTACATTTTAGCAGAATGTCCAGGTAATTATTACTACTGATCCTAAAGGTTAACACTTATAAATGAAAACTTACTAGGGGGAAAAAAAATCGGGAAAAAACTAAAATTAATAATATATCAATTCACAAAAGAAAAACAATACTTCTATTCTATTGGGGGGAAGAGGTTAGCCACAACCAGCAGTGCTCAGGTATTACAAACGGTTCCATGCTCAAGGGTTGTCCCAGACAGTGCTCAGGGGACTGCACAGTGCTAGGGATCAAACTCAGTACTGCAGCAAGCAAAGCATACACACTAGGTCTCTGAGCTATCTCCCATATTCTGGCCCCTCGGTTTTCAATAAGCTTTTCACTTCGTGTTAAATGGGAAATCAACATTACTTTTTTATTTTACATCAATTTTAATTTTACCAGGTTTTGAGGGATGCTACATCCACCAGTGCTCAGGATTTGCTAATGTTTCCCACACAGGGATTACTCCTGAGAAGTACGTTCTTGAAGGACCAGAGGTGATGCCAGGGATCAAACCCGAGTGGGTACATGCAAGGCAAGCACCTTATCCTCTACACTATCTCTGCAGAACACATTTCAACAGTTTTTGTATCGTTTTGTTCTAAGATTCAAGATATTATTTCTCACTGAGTCATGTCTCCTCACTTTTCCTCTGGTCTCTGATAATTTCTCAGTCTTCCCTAGTTCCTTGCAACCCTGACAATTACAAGTTCTGGTTGGATGTTTTGCAAAACGTACTTCAACTTGAATTTGTCGTATCTTTTCCTCACTATTAGACTGGGACTATGAGTTTTTAGGAATCATATTCAATCTTAGCAAACCTTAAACATGTGAAATCACATAACAGTTACTGTTTGAGTAAACAGCTTCTAATTTTCCTACTCTGTCAACATTGAAATGATAAAATGGTTGGTTGCAAAGATTTACAAACATAATTACTCTGTAATATTCAAAATAAAACCTATCAAAAAAGCTGGTTTTACTTAGAATCTGAACTCCTGATGTGTCCAAGTTGAGATGCCAACTCGAAGTATTAATATCAGGAAAAAGAACTTTAAAAAAATACACTAGGCACAAATTTAAAAAAAAAGAATTAACACTAGAATTACAACACTATACTTTCTATTATCTCAGTTAAAAAATGTACAAGCATGAAGTACAACAACATTCAAGTATTATTTTCATTGCTAAAGTATATCCTGGATTAAATGCTTCAGATTCTACTCACCCGAGATTTCTAATTCTGCCCAGTGAGATTTTTTCCCATTGGCTACCTCCTCTGCTGACATGATGGTATAAATTCTGCGAGGATCTGGAGGATCATATTTTTCCTTTGGCATCCCTATTAGTCTATTAAAGAGAGAGAGAGAGAGGGAGAGATGATCAACAATTACAATGCCTAAAGAAAAAAAGAAAAATAGGATGAGTCTTTTTTTTTCCTCTTCCCTTGCCAGGTTTCTAAGTCACTTTAATACTATAAACTCCTAGCAGAAGGAAAACACATCAGCAGTTTGAGAGGCTCTTTCAAGAATTCATAACAGATGCCAAGGGAAAACACAAGCGAGCAACACTAAATTTCACTGTGAACACTGTGACTTCTTACCAAACACCCCCTTCCCTTCATTTAGCTTCCTTGCTTTCAAAAGTTAAACATAAGATTAACCATATAACTATTTCTTAAATGGGTTCTGACTAGTCTAAGAGAATCAAGGTAACCCTATCCTCCTTGATTCCCCATACTCAAGACAATCAGCACGTGACATCCCCCTTGTCACAGAGATTAGTTCAATAGTATCTAATAAGCTGGAAGCTTAAGGCTCATTCTGTTTTTAGGAGGTGAAGGCATCTCTCTCTCTCCCTCCGGTGATAATGCAGGATACATATCCCACAGAGATTTAGGCACACAACTAACAATTCAAAACAAGCCATCACAAACTTTAGAAATCAGTCTAGAAAAATAAGACAAATCAAATCAGACATGCAGCATTCCCAAACACTGGGTTTTCAGACAACCCCCCCACCACACACACACACACACACACACACATATATTTTTTACTTATTAAACTACTTTGTATTTTCTTTTACTTGAATAGAAAAAAAGCACCACAGTTGGTGAGAGAGTAAGCCCTTGCCTTACATCTAGTCAACTCCCATTCGATCCTTAGCACCACATATGGTGTCCCTCACCCCATCAGCACCAGGAGTGATCCCGGAACACAAAGTTAGGAGAAAACCGAGCAGAGTCAAGTGTGACCCCATGCCCCCTCCACCACCAAAAAATAAAGTGTCATGATTAGAAGATCATATATCTTGATTTGTATAGACCAGTCTTGGATTATCACTGTCACTGTCCTCCAACTCGGGCCGGCCTGGCCAGCTGCGTGCAAGGCAAACGCCCTACCACTGTGCTATCGTTCCAGCCCATCTTGGATTATATGTTATCATGTAAATTATTAGTATCACTCAATAGTCTGGTAAGTGTCCAATTTGAATGGGTTACATGCTATCCTAATTGCAACTAATCCTGGTTTCATCTAAACATAGGACAATCACTGAACAATCTTCAGCAATGACCAAGGAAGCATTAAACTCAAGTATGCAAATGAAGCTGATGACAGATGACCTTTAAAAAGTAACCCTTCAAGGACCAGAGAGAAAATATAGCAGGTAAGATAAAAACTCTCTCCCGACCACCACCCCCCTTCAAGGGTCAATACAAGATCTATTCCTTAATAAAATGCAGAAAATAAAATCCCTATCAGATCTAACAAAACCCGATGACAAACATAGCAAATGACAATCTTAGCCTAATTATCACCTACAAGCTACCAGTAAATTGCCTTGTGATATTTATAGTTGGTTATTAGCTCATATTTTAACATTTACACATCTACCACAAAACCATATGTCAAAATCAGAATATTTCTAAGCAGAGTTTAGAATTTACATTTCTTTCAACTGATTTGAAAGTTGTTACAAATAGAAAATTATGAAAAATTAGAAGCATGCTATTATGTATCAAAAAATCAGAAATGTTTTATAAGTATAATAAAATTTCCCATACTATAACTCTCCCTCATATTTATGAAGGGAAAAGGGCAATTCCTTCATACATCATATGGGACAGAAAAAGAGTTTTCCAAATTTGCTCATCGGTTTAACACAGTAATATGCTTCCAAGTTTCCACCTTAAGTTCTTCTAGTCTTATCATACAATCTGGGTGATAGCACATCAAATTTTATTTTCCATAACTGCCCTCAAATTCTCACATAGTACAAAGAATATGATCATATTTTACAAGGACATAATTTGAATTCTACCACACTATGCCTACATAAACTCATTCTGAAAATGATTTTTAAATAACAATGTTTACAGATGTTCCTCTGTATGTTACCTAAGATGTGCCTGAGAACTTCTGTTGATATAAAATCCTCCATAAATACGAGGTTAAGGTAAAACAGATTCAGATCTATAGATCCATTACCTACAAGAGGAAATTTTTAACACTGTTGGGGTTTTTTTTTTAAAGAGACATTTTTATTGAGATACTGGGATCTCTAATACTGTTAAATCCTACTTTCATGCATGCATCACTCCAGCATTAAACCCATCACCAGGCCCCATTTTCTTCCACCAGCATCCCACGTCCGCCCCCTTGTAAGCTCACTTCTACAGACAAAATGAAAAAAATGAAGACTATTAAACATCAAATGCTTATCCCTGGCATCCCAACTGATCCTCCAAACCCCACCAAGAGTGATCCCTGAACACAGAGCCAGGAGAAGGGCCTGAAAATGGCCAGGTGTAACCCAAAAACAACAACAAAAAAATCTGCATGTGTAATAATGGCTGTTATTCCTCTTATTCTAAAACCTTGAAACACTTATGTCACAGAACTATTTTTAAAAGTTTTTATCTTTGTTAGAACATTAAAACTCAGAATCTGGTTCTACAAAACAAATCCACAAAGTTTATTAACATCTACAACTTTTTAAAAGTAGGACTATTGATATTGAAAGGGATCAGAGGTATCAGAAACCATTATTAGGAAGTCAATAAAAATGCAAGTCACTGAATTCCTCAAAATTAATCTAGGGTTGAATAGTCTTCTCTGACTGAAGTTTAAACAATTTTGTTCTGATGATCACCACTGCTTTAAACATCATTTCCAAGTTACTTCTAAAAACTTAGAAAACAAAATTTAAAAACTGTTATTATTGAGTACTTCTATTTATTTTTCCTTCCAGTTCTTTAACATTGACTTTTCATCTTGGAGATAAGTCAAAAATTTCTATTTCCGGGGCTGGAGCGATAGTACAGAGGGTGGGGCGTTTGCCTTGCACACGGCAGACCCGGGTTTGATTCCCAGCATCCCACATGGTCCCCCGAGCACCACCAGGAATAACCCCTGTGCATCGCCGGGTATGACCCAAAAAGCAATAAATAAATAAATCTATTTCAGAATAACTTAAATATAAAGTAGTAACTCAAAAAATGTAGTTTAAATTTATAAACATAACACTGATAACCTGGTTTCTAACAGCCCTGTTCACAGGCCTGTGAGGTGAGAGGTTTAAATACTGAGGCGCATATGCTGCTCAGGCCCATGTGCGACTTGCGCCCACGTGGCCAAGCACAAGTGGCGGCTGAGCACATGTGTCGCCCGCATCTCCCCTCTTGAGATGTGTACTTTCATGCTTTCCTGTCTAATGCTGGTATGTGTGTGTCGAGGCTCTCTCTCCACTCTTGAAGAAGACCGTGTTCTCTCTTGAGTACGTTACTCTCTCACTCTCTCCCCCTCCACACCTTAAAAATCCTCCAAATAAAATCAAGTACACATATATATATGTGTGTGTGTGTGTGTGTGTGTGTATACACATTTCTATGATTTGTTGAATCTGACCATATAAATCGGTAAATGAAAATTTCCTTTGCAGCAAAACTTTTTAACTTCTCAGTATTCACAACCTCATTTCAACACAACAAAATAAACGACACACAGCTTCCCAATGCCTTCAATGACATACTACCACTTAAAGTTCCTAAATGGCAGCCTGAGCAATAATACAGAAGGTATTATGCATGCACTTGCCATGCACGTAGCCGACCCAGGTTCAACCCTTGCTACTGTATATGGTCTCCTACCAAGAGCGACCCCTGAGCACAGAGCGAGGGTAAGCCCTGTGCACCACCAGATGTAGCCCAAAACCGAAACGAAACAAAAAAGTTTTTAAACAATAACACAAACATTCAAAGACCATTTAAAGTTTTCGCAGTGTCTCTTGCTGTCACCACTTTAAACAAAACACAATTCATGCTTTATGACAGTGAAGTTATCGTGAAAAGACAGCCTTCAGACTCCTAGAATCTCAGATTTCTAGCCAGTTTAATAATAAACCATCATATATTTATTGCAAGCCTACTAATACATGGAGTATATCAAGCACTAGGACTTTAAATGAGCAAAATGGGAGCTAGAGATATATACCCAGGTTAGAGTATATATAATTCAGAGATTATACGCATAATCCATATGTATATAATTATATATACATATACTCTCTAGAGTATAGAATCTTGAATTATATAACAGAATTATATAATATGGAATTATATAATCAAGATTTTATCATCTGTAGAATGGTCCAGAGTTCCCAGGTCAAGAATAGCAAGTTTTAAATGGCCTTATATTAAAGAAGAGAGCCAACGACAATGATATTAAACATATTCTGGCACATAATATGAAGTGTCTATACTCAAAAGGCTAATCAATGAAGCTTTAAAAAGACCATATTTGAGCAATACCACTCCTGGGAATATATCCCAGAGAGGCAAAAAAAATATAGTCGAAGTGACATCTGCAATTGTTTGTTCATTGCAGCACTCTTTACAATAGCCAGAATCTGGAAAAAACCTGAGTGCCCGAGAACAGATGACTGGTTAAAGAAGCTTTGGTATATTTACACAATGGAGTACTATGTAGCTGTCAGAAAAGATGAAGTCATGAAATTCACATACAAGTGGTACTACATGGAAAGTATCATGTTAAGCAAAATGAGTCAGAAAAAGAGGGATAAACTCAGAAAGATTGCATTCATCTGGGGAACATAAAGCAACAAAATGGGAGAACACCCAGGAGTGGCTAAGATTAGTACCAGGAATTTTGCTCCATGGCTTGGAGGTCAGCCACACATGGTAGGGGAAAAGGCAGCTCAGATAGAGAAGGGAGCACCAAATAAAGAGTATTGGGAGGATCCTCCCAGGATGGGAGAAGCATGCTGAAAGTAGACTATAGACCAAACATGATTGCCACTCAATGACTCTTTTGCAAACCACAACACCC